TCTTTGTATTCATATAGTCAGCTAGTACAGTGGTTATATTATTCACAAGTATGAAACAGAACACAGTCACCAACTTAATAATGATTCAACTTGATATTATTTGACTTTACAATGGTGCAAAATGATAGGCATTCAGTAGAAATATACTTGGGCTTTTAGATTTTGAACTTTTTCCAGGCTGGTGATAGGGTATATACCTCACCCTTGCTGGATGGTGGCAGGGAGATACAGTTTAGCCCAGAGATCACAGGGGAAAAATGCTTAGGATTTGTTTATGGAACAAAACATGGTTAAGTTGAGGAGCATCTGGATTTGAAAATGTGGATCTTGAGGCTGACAGTATAACTTGGGAACCTGTAATAGCTTCTAGTGTGACTAAACCTCTGTAAAGTAGGAATAACACTACAGGAGCAAAATATATCCATCTTCTTTAGTCACTGGAAACTTTTGTGTATCTAGTATCTGACGTGTGTGTGTGGGGGGGTACTGGAGATTGAACTCAGGGCCTCATGTTTGGTGAAATATTTAGGAAACTAAAGATGATCGTTAAAGACAATGATGAATTGAAAATAAAGTCAGATACAATTTTGTATTTTAAATCAACCCTGAGATAAACTGAATGAGCCTAATTTTTCAACTGATTATTGGTTTAAAACACAGACAAACTGGGTGTAGTGGTGCACAACTGTAATTTCTGTGGGCTGTGATAAGAAGTTTGAATCCAGCCTGGGCTACAAAGACCTTGTCATAAAAACCTATAGCTGCTGGGTACCAATAGCTCAAGCCTGTAATCCTAGCTACTCAAGAGGCTGAGATCTGAGGATCATGGTTTGAAGCCAGCCTGAGCAGGAAAGTCTGTGAAACTTATTCTTAATTAACCACCAGAAAACCAAAAGTGGAGCTGTGGCTCAAAGTGGAAAGCACTATCGTTGAGCAAAAGAGCTCAGGGACAGTGCCCAAGTCCTGAGTTCAAGTCCCACCCCCCCAAAAAAAAAACCAATAAAAAAGCTATAGCCAAAGATTTGGTAAATACCAAGTGACTGGATATATGTTAATATTTAAAATGTTGCAAAATACTTATCAATGTTATAGCAGTCTACAGACCTCAGCTTTCTCATCCTGCTAGTGTCTTTCCTTTTTTGGAGGACAGGCTATTTATTATTAATGCTGTTTTGTTCTGAAGTGGCTAATGAGCCTGATGAACCACCAGTGCTGGGGTCCAGAGACTAGGACAGGCTCCCAGCCACCAAGCTCTGCCTCTCACTAGTTGGCTGTTTCATTCTTTTACATCTTTCCTACAAGTCTGGAATCAAGGCTGTTGGCATTTTCAGGACTCATCCTCTCCTGAGAGGAAACTTGAGCTATTCCAATTAGCAAGACCACAGAGAGAGGGAAGCTGAGTGGCTCATCTTGCATCACATTCCCTCCCTTCTTCTACTGCCCTGTAGTCAGAAAGGATGGACAAGTCACACGAAGAACTGGGATGTTTACAGCACAGCAGTAGGCTGGAGAGGATGGCATAGTTTCCCAAAAGAGGGGTGGACCATTTTGGAAAAAAGGCACACTGGGCAGCTGAAGGTCTGGCATTACAATGAGCGGAGCTCTTGTTTGTAGCCTCACGAGACATGATGCTTCCTGTGGACCAGTCCTTCAAGACTCTGAAATTCTAGAGTGACTCTAGTCCTTTAAGGCTTAGTTATTAATAATTCAGCTAACTGAATTATATACAGCTATATACATTCTCTTTTTGGTAGTAGGGATAGAACCCAGAGCTGTTCTGCACCTCCAGGTCCTAGCCTGCACTGTTGAAAATGAGTTTCATCTGAGTTGAAAAGGTAAATATAGTCCCAGTATCTTTTTTTTTTTAAAGGTATCCAATGCTTTCGTCACAACTTAAAAAAAATATCCAAAACAGCAATATAATTTCCTTCCTTAAGCCCTGCGGAAGCATGAGCAAGATGTCCTGCTGGAGGCCCCAGCTGGCAAGGAACTGGACGTGCTTCTAGTGTGTTTTTCACTGGAGAGCAGGGTCTCAACAAATACAGCCCACAGACCAGGGTTTGATATTTGGCTTTACTTTATAAAAATACACAACTTAAATACGTATGGCACTCTGTATACAAGACATAAACAACTGGTAGATTTAACAGCTTCAGTTAGTTCACCAGAAAGCAAATATGGGCATTACCTTACAGGAGCAAAGACTCTGCATTCACAGTCAGAGGGCAAGAATGCCCAGGGGGCATCCAGGGCAAACAGCTAACCCAAAAGGTCAAGGTCCCAGCAAAAGCCCCTTACCAAGGGCCTTCATGGCACTGTACAGCTTAATATTGCACTGCTTATTAGATATAATCTCACTTTTTATCCACATCACAAGCTTCTTTCTTTTGTAGGAATGGATAATGGAAAATATCAATGTCCAGACAGCACTGACTGTCTTAAAATTGTGCTCAATACCAAATATGAGAGACAGGAACTGCTCTGTACTCTGCCAAGCAGCTAAATTCATTATCTCAAGTTCTACAAAAAGCAGTGGCAGACTCAGGCAAGTTCCAGGGGTGCAGGGACAAACGAGGAGCCTTTCTAAGCCTACTGAGTTTCCAGTTAGAGGGGCAGCACTGTCACTGTCACAAGGCAATCTGCACAGGGCTCTAACCTGAGCTGGAAATCTCTCCCTCCCTCTGGTGACTGTCACAATTCTGTGAGGAGACATTCCAGGCATCTAACTGCCTTATCTATGGCTCATTTAACTAAGCATGAATGAGGTGCTACTTTCTAGGCATAAAGAAATATTTACCACGTGAGAATTCAATACACTTGTGAATTCAAATACTTACCATTAGAATAAGTTTCCTGAGGAAAATGTAAGACTTAGACTGGTGTGCAATCTTCACAAGTACAGTGATCTTAGCACTGCTGAGTAGCAAGTCCATACTTTAAACTAACAGGCTACTAAAACTGTAAGCACATTTACATGAAGAAATAAAAGACAGTGCTGAAGTGAAAGAAATATTGACAGTTGAGAAGGAGGAGGCACAAGAGATGGAAGCTGGGGAACAAATGGGAGAAGTCCTTAAAGTGCTTAAGTAGGCTGATGGGAGACAATCCCAAATGCCTCCAGGGATTTCTCACAAGTTTAAGAAGTGTTCCTTCGTGGTGACTCAGATGTGGAAGACATGGCTTTTCTTTAATTATAGCTGTTCAAACTTTTTATTCTTTTTGAAAATTATTCTGCTAGTTGTGACTCTCACCAATGTGTTTTGAAATCTTAACTACATGAAGACACTTTAATAAGGTTCAACTACGAAGTATACATCTGCTCCAAGCACTTAAATTAATGCATGAGATCTGTAAACATTTGGCATGAAGTTTGTACTAAAAATACTTCTCATTGCAAATCATTCTCTGTTACATCTTAACGTTCTGAGGATGGGGTACTGACATCTGAAAAATTCTACAACCTTAGCACTTCCCTATCTTATTCCTATTAAGTACATAAAGTAGCATATGGCCATTCTTAATGTTAATAATGAAGTTTGTTGAAAACCCAGTCCTGAAACCTAAGCCAAGGCTACATCTGAAAAAACGACTGTGAATGTATGAATGCAGCTCTAGAGAATTGTTTCTGCTCTAATCACTCATCTGAGAAAGGACACTGAATGAGGTGACTGAGTGTTTAATTCCTTACGCAGGGCCATGCCCTCAGAGAGCTATCCAGGCAATTTGGGCAGACAGCCTAAGCACAATTACTCATTCACAGACTCCTTCATTCTGTTACAAGAGAAACCTGAAGCTAGGGTATTTTAGGAGAAAGGCCTTAAGCAAAACTTAGACCAAAAGAATTTCAGTAGGGGTCTTGTAGTCCCAAAAGCTACTTTAATGGCCAGAATAAAATCTCACAAGAAATAATCCATCAGATCTCAACTCCTTAAAAAAGAAAATTAAGCATTTTTGATGATCACTCAGAGGAAACTAATATTGGGGAACAATGCTCTGTTTCTGACTTTAAGTATAGCCACACAAAGTGAGGCTGCTTTCAGGGAAGTGAAAAACCCAGAAAAGTGAAGTAGCTTGGACGGTAAGAAACTAGGTTTACCTCTTAGCTACTAAAGTTATGTTATTTGGCAATCAATATGGGATGGGAAAGCGGTTACAACTCACAGAATAGTAATATTTGCTCTACTTCAAAGCTCCAACTGGCACAGGTGGCTGCAGCTAAAAATGTGATATAATGAGAGTGATGCCATAATGAGTCAGGCCACAGGCAGGTTCCCCAAGCACTGGAGAGAAGACCTCCTCTACACTATGCCTCTTCTCCACTCCCTATGACACTGCCACCGAACAGATTCTCCATGGGAAATTAGTTTTTATAATCTGTAGCTTAGGATTTTTGCTATTTAGAAATTTGTAGCCCAAGCAGAAATTAGAAGTATTCTGTCCCATACAGGGCTTAGATCTGCCCCACTGTCCCCAAAGGACCAACTTGTTTCTGGCCAACCAAGCTCAGGGCAAGGCTGGCAGGGGGGAAGAGAGGAGGCTGAGGCAGATGTGAGCAGAGAGAGACGAAGAGGGAAGAAGAGGTGTGGAAGCCTGTCAGACGCTTGTGAGGACACTGCCCGTCCTACAAACACACCTGCTCTTAGCTGGTCTTCCCCTCTGGGTATGTGCCTACGTTTGGCCATGTGCAGTCTCCAGCGTACCCTGCAAGTGCTTCTGTCATGGAGCCTGCGTCTCATTCCAGTGCACAGGGCTCCCAGCTGCTCCCAGCAACCATTTCTACAGCAGGCAAAGGCCTCAGATGGTGGGACTGGTAAGCCCCAGCAGTGTTCCCACAGCTAAGCCTGCCTCCCACTCTTCTCTTAGCAATGGCTTCTCTCTCCCCCTGGTGGCTGCTGAAGGAAACACAATGAATGTCAATCCAGAATTGTAACGCTACTCCACATAGTTCCACAGGGGTGCCCAGAGCTCACTTATAGATGCCTTTTCCTTTTTTTTTTTTCCAGACAGGGACTCTAGTAGCCCAGGCAGGCTTAGACCTCTCAATCTTTCTGTTTCAGGCTCCTTAGTGCTGGTATTATACAAATGTGCCACCACACTCAGCTAATTATAGAATGATAATTAAAATATCACCAAAGGAACTCATTTCATTGATAATGGAACAACTTGTTTTAACCAAGCCTTCTGGGGGCTTGAAAGTTGTCTGCTTGTTTTTGTTTTCTCTCCCTCCACTTTTTTCTCTGATGATGAATTAAAAAGTAAAAGCGTGAAATTCACACTGTCTCTTGTCTCCCTCCAGTAACCTCATGGACTTTCTCAAGCCTAAAGGGTGCTCCCATTACAAAGCTTACAAACAGATGAGAAAACCCAACTCTGATAATAGGAAAGGAAGAGCAGTGCATAACGACGCGGGCTTCTCTTCACTTCACGCAAAGGCAGATCCTTTGTTGTAAATGCCTGCAGGATGGTAAAAGGCACCTGCATTACTGAGCTACAAATGATGGCACATGAGAGAACAGAGCAGAGAGATTTCATGAAGGAAAACTCCATGCAGGCTTTTCAACTAGAGGGGTCTGTCTGCACTAAATGCTGTCTCCCTCTGTCTCCTATTTGATGTTTTTCAGGAGGGCTGTCCGGGCATTCACAACTGCTTTGAAGGCATCTTCACTCCCAGGAGCCGTGCACTTGTCAGGGTGGAGCAGCACAGCAAGCTTCCGGTAGGCCTTATTGACTTCCTCCCTGTGGAAAGCAGCCAGGCTTTAGTAACGGGTCAGTCCAAGACCTGCCTTTCAGCTGTTTCCACATATACTGTATCTTTTGTTGTAAGCATATCCCAATTATTTACCTTCTCAAAGGTAGATCTAAAAAAACTAAAACAAAACAAAAAAACCCCCAACAACCTCATAAATAAGAGGCAATGTGTAAGTAAAAGAATCTAATACAGAACATACACAAACTCAGAGGAAACGGTAAAACATGATCAGATGACAACTATAGCACTAGGCAGCTGGGGTTGCTGAGCAAGCCTTTGCTGGCTGGATGATGATTGCCTGGGGTACCAAGGAGCCCCTACTCCCTGAAGCATTCTGAAAGTGGGGGCTTGGGATTAGTATAAGTTGGGAACTCAAGAGTGCCAGAGAGAGAACGGACAGAGGCAGAGTGCGGGCTCACATGGGAATAGTCCCAAAGGAACCCAGCTGGCCAGGGAAGAGGGGACAGTCAAGGATAGGCCTGGATCATAACATCAGGGGTGCTTCGTGGCAAGCTGGCACCGGGAAGTCTGTTTCTCAAAGGAGGGAGAACAGAGCTGCGTATCATGCCTCACACCCATAATCCTAACTACTCAGGCGGCCAAGACCCACAAGTCTGTGGTTTGAATCTGCACAGAAAGTTCTCCATCAAATAGAAAAGATGAAGGAGAAGGGACTGAGCAGACTTCCAGGTCCTGAGGAAGAGCAGAGCCTGCTGGGGACGACCTGGAGATGCTGGGACCCACCCATCCAGCTCTCCAGCACCCTCAGCAGTCAGGATACTAGCTGGTTGGAAGTACCCAGCACTACTAGGGTCAGATTAAGTTCCACCGCTGCCAGTTTTATTTCCCACTCCTCTTTGGAAAGTAACCAGGACCCACCTATCCCACACAACTGGCCATGGTGCTATGGCCAAGTGCTCTGGCCTTTCTTTTGTATTTTTTTTTTTTGGTCCGGTCATGGGGCCTGAACTCTGGGCCTGGGTGCTGTCCCTCAGCTCTTCAGCTCAAGGCTAGCGCTCTACAACTTGAGCCACAGGGCCATTTCCGGCTTTTTTTTTTTATTTCTTCTTATGTGGTGCTGAGGAATTGAACCCAGGGCCTCGAGCATGCAAGGCAAGCGCTCTACCACTGAGCCACCTTCCCAGCCCTTTCTTTTGTATTTCTAACAGCACTTTCTAATCTCCATCTCCAAATCAGGGAGATACTCTCTGACACCCTGGAGGTAATGGAGTTTCATGTGTCAACCTGGACACTTGTATCTTAGGCATACATGCTAAGTCTTTTTCTCTTACAGAAAAATTCCCTCTGAATTTTCTTGTTTTAACTTTGAATGTCATCTTTTTCTTTTTCATTTTTTTCTCTTTTCTCTCTCCCTTTTTTTTTTTCTCTTCTTCTGTCGGTTGTGGAGCTTGAACTCCTGGGTGCTGTCCCTAAGCTTTTTTTGCTCAAGGCTAGTACTCTATCACTTTGAGCCACAGTGCCACTTCTGGTTTTCTGGTGGTTAATTGGAGGTAAGTTTCTCATGGACTTTCCTGCCAGGCTGATTTTAAACCGCGATCCTCAGGTCTCAGTTTTCTCTTAAAGACATTGAAGGGCCAATGTTTGCATTTCTCCCCTCCAGGCAGCTATCTGATCCCTGCTTTCTCCCCGAAGGAAGTCCTGGGCAGAGCCAGGGGCCACTGTGCTCTGTATCCACCTGCTCAGTGTGATGGTTGGCCTCTGGGTGGGGAGTGCCTGTCAAGATATCTAAGTCCTGGAGAGACTCTCAAGGGGAATTTTTGGAGAAATGAGGCTGATTCAGGTCCACACCAATGTATCAACTCTGAGGAAGATTCTTTTAAAGTCAAGAACGGTATAATGGTTGGCACCAAACAAATATCAAAATTCTCTGCAACTTAAGAAAACAAAAGCGTTTTAAGATTTTCCCCAAATGTGCTTAGTATTATTTTGACAGACCCTGTTAAGCAAAAGTAAGAGATGTTTTGTTTAATTTATTTCAATGTAGTTATTTGGTTGGTTTTGTTTTAAAGTAGTAGGGCTGAACTCAGCCTCCTTGTTAGGTAGGCCCTCTATAACTTGCGCCATAACCCAACTCTCTTTTGCCTTAGATAGGTCTTATGCTTTTTTTTCCCCCTGGGCTAGCCTTGGACCTCAATTTTCCAACTTACACCTCCCATGTAGCTGGGACTGCAGGCACCACCATGCTCAGCTTTTTTGTTGTTGAGATTGGGTCTCAATAACTTTTTGCCTGGGATGAGATCAAACTAAGATCCTCCCAGGCTTTCCCTTCACGTAGCTATATCACAGGCACGAGCCTCCTAGAAGTATATATTCATCATGGATACCAGCATTTTATTTTTACTAATCAATACTATGCTAAGTTCACTAATAAGTAGACAACTGGCCAAAAAAAAAGATTTCTAATATTACAGCTTCTATCCTTTGGAAATGACATGGAAGGATTTAGAGTGAGACTATGGAGGTCTTAAAGGACATTTAAAAGACACCAATAAGCTCTGCGTTTTAGACATGAGGTAATATGAGTCCCTTCACAAGTCCCTTCAAGAATGACGGTGGAAAATCAGACCCTGATTACTTGTAACACGTGAGGTTAAGGTGGTAACAGTACACCATCAGCAGTTATACTGCACAAACAATGAAGAAGAGCAACTGTACTTCTCTTCCTGATTCTTTTTCTTGAGATAGATTCTTGCTATTTCACATCAGAGCTAGGTATGGCTCAAGTGGTAGGTCATCTACCTGGTGAAACTAGTACCAAACAAAGAAAGAGAGATAAAGAGAAAGCGGGGGGGGGGGGGGAGAAGAGAAGAGGGAGGGAGGGAGGGAAGGAAACAAAGAACATAAATACACCCACAGATGAGGAACTACTAGAGCTCTTGAAAAAGCCAGGTCAGAGATAGGCAGATGCTATTATTAACTTCTAGGAGGTTAGAACATGCTTAATCTCAAAGAACCCCAATTTTCCCACCTATGAAATTTCTGAATGAGTTGATTGCTGATACTCTTTCTCCCTGTTGATTTGAGAATTCTCTTTTATAAGTTTCTCATGGTTACACTGGCTCTGAAGTAATCCATGTCCACACACCTTCATTTTTCTAGCCCGGTGGAAGGGGGGGGCATGCCTATCAGAGCTCAGCACTGAGTACCCCGGAGCCATGCTTACCTTGATGCCCCGGGTTTGACTCCCAGCATGTCCCAGCTATCTTTGCTATTGCGAATTCTGCGAATTGTGTCTGCTTGTTCTTTGGTGAAACTAGCACTGCTGTTTGTAGTTGGACGCTTCCCACCGTTTTCACATAAGTCAACTATGGACACATAAAAGGTCTGCAAGAAGAAAACACAGAAGAACTGATTCTGCCAAAATAGGAATGCCTTTCAAGTGTCAACTTAAGGATTTTTCACATACTTCACTAACACTTCAAAGTCACAAATAAAGCAAATGTGTACTTTGGAAGATCTTTTTTCCTCTTATACTATTTAAATATTTGGCTTAGGTACTATGTGTTCTTTAGCTTTTCCACTCAAGGCTGGTGCTCTACCACTTGTGCCACAGCTCCACTTCAGAGTAAAGAGTCTCACACACTTTCCTGCCTAGGCTTCCTTTCCAAGTGTGTAGCTGGACTGTAATCTGCCCCTTTCAGACTTCCTGTCATAGATAAGATCACAGCTGTACACTACCACACTAAGCTTCTTCCATGGAGATGAAATCCAGTGGACTTTCAGCCTATAGTTGGCCTAAAACCATGATCTTCCTAATATCAGCCTCCCATGTAGTTAGAATTACAAGCATGAGCCACCAGCACTCAGCATTTCTTTTGTATGTGTGTGCCAGTCCTAGGACTTGAATTTAGGGCCTGGGCACTGTCCCTGAGCTTTTTTTTTTTTTTCTTCAAGTGGTAGAGCGCAGATCAAGGCTAGTGCTTTACCACTTGAGCCTCAGCTCTACTTCTGGCTTTCTGGTGGTTAACTGGAGATGAGAACTGCCCCGTCTGACTTCGAACCACAATCTTCAGATCTCAACCTCCTGAGTATCCAGGATTACAGGCATGAGCTACCCACACTTAGCATGGCCACAAACTCTTGATCCTACTGCCTCAGCCTCCCAAGAGCCAGGATTATAGACACTGCCAAAAAATATGGCTTGAAAATGTATGTGTGTGTGTGTGTGTGTGTTTTGTTTATTAGTGCTACTGGGGCTTGAACTCAAGGCCTCATGTTCACTAGACAGGCATTCTAACACTGAGCCAAACATTCAACCCTTTTTGTTTGCTTATTTTGAGAAAGGTCTCACTTTTTGCCTGGAACAGGGCCTGAGTGCAATCCTCCTATTTTATGCTTCCTCATGAAGCTAGAATAGGTATGTCCCACCACACCCAGCTATCAGCTGAGAAGGGAGTCTTAATGAATTTCTACCCAGATTAGCCTGCCAATCCTAGGCTTCCAAGTAGCTTGAATATAGCTGGGAACCACCACATGTGGATTGAGAATGCACTATGAATGAGTACACAGAGAATCTTAGCAGAGAATTAGGAATTATGCAAAAGAACCAACTGCAAATTCTAGAACTGCAAAAAACTAAATTAAAAATTCGTTCAATGGGTTTAACATCAGATTGTTGATAAACAGAAATTATACAACATAAAAAATTGAAAAAAATGGAGGAAAAGAAGCAAAGCCTTAGGAACTGTGGGACAAAATCAACGATCTAGTATAAATGTAACTGGAAAGAAAAAAAAACAACGAAAATGAGGCCAATTAATATTTGATCTAAAAAGGAGAAAACACCAGGCATAAAAACCTAGCTACTGAAGAGGCTGAGATTGTTCAGAGCCAGTCCTAGCAAACAAATAACTGAGACATCTCCAGTTAACCAGCAAGAAGCCAGAAATGAAGGTGTGGCTCAAAACCCCAATACCGGCATCAAGAAAAAAAAAAAAAGCCAACATAAAGAAAAATAAAACCTTCCCAATTTTGATGAAAACCATCTAGCTATCAACCTTTGAAAAATCAACAAATCCCAAAGGGAATAAATGTGATGAGAACTACCCCTTCGTACATCATGGCATAATTGCTAACAACTAAAGTTAAAGATAAATTAGTGTGCCAGGTGCTCATGCTTGTAATCCTAGTCCAAGCAAAGTTGGTAAGGCTCTTATTTCCAATTAACCAGCAAAAAGATGAAAGTGGAGGTGTGGCTCAAGAGGCAGAAGCACAGCCTTGCTTGAAAAAGCTAAGCAAGAGAATAAGGCCTTGACTTTGGGCCCTGGTACTGGACTACTCTTTACCCCCCAAAAAAGATAAGTTATTCAAAGCAGTCAGAAGCGGTAAAAATATATTTATGAAGACTAAGAATGTGAACAGGTTCAACTTATGAGACACAATAGATGCCAATGAGAATAAAATTTAATTTATGGAGATACTAATTACCCTGATTTGATCATAACAGATTGTATATAAATATATATCTAATTATTATGACACTCCCCATCAGTAATGTATAATTATAACAATAACATAAAACAGAATAAAAAAGAAATTTAATCTCTAACAGTTATTACTTACTCTCCTTAGTAGCTGTTCTCATGTATAAGAAGTGAATTATTTGCCACACTTTGTAAGTCTCAAAAGAGATAAAATATAAAGCATCTCCAGAATTGCAAAATACCACTGAACAGTTGAGAATCATTACTGCACACATAGACCTGTAAACTCAAATAGGTCTATGTATTCAAACAAATAGAAAGCATAGCAAATGAATATCAACCTTGACCCTGAAATAGAGTTCAGCCTGTCAGCCAAAAATGAAGCCTGTCTGATAGTAGGAGGGACAATATCTTCTAAGAGGAAACTCAGCATAAAAGATACAATACTGCTGGGTGCTGGTGGCTCACACCTGTAATACTAGCTACTCAGGAGGCTGAGATCTGAGGATCCCAGTTCAAAGCCAGCCCAGGGCAGGAATGTCCTGAGACTCTTATTTCCAATTAACCACCAAAAACTGGAAGTGGGCTGTTGCTCAAGTGGTAGAATCAATAATTGAGAACAACTCGTTATAGTAATAGCTATATTACTGGAAATGCTAGAAATAGCCGAACTATCAGCTATAGTCCTAAGAAAAATTATTCATACCATCTCTCACAAACATACCTATAATTAAGAGCTGACTTTATAACTTAATGTTTTAAAAAGCCTCCTTCACTTAAGTTATTCAAAGTTAGCAGGTTTTAAAGAGTGACCATCAGCTGGCTGCTGGTGGCTCACACCTGTAATCCTAGCTAAAGAAGCTGAGATCTGAAGATCACGGTTCAAAGCCAGCTTGGACAGGAAAGTGCTTATCTCCATTTAACCACCAGAAAACCGTAAGTGACACTGTGGCTCAAAGTGGCTGAGCGCTAGCCTTGAGCAAAAGAGCCTAGGGATAGTGCCCAGGCCCTGAGTTCAAGCCCCCCAACCAACCAAAAAAAAAAAATCAAAAACCCATAACCATCACTGGGTACCAGAGGCTCATGCATGTAATCTTAATCAGAAGTCAAAGATCCAGAATTGGCAATTCAAAGCCAGCCTCATCAGAAAAGTTTGAGAGATTCTGTTTCCAAAATAACCAGCAAAAAAAAAAAAAAAACAGGCTAAAGGTATGACTCAAATTGTAGAGTACCAATTGAGCAAGCATGAAATCCTGAGTTCAAACCTTAGCACCAGGGGAAAAAAAAAAAAAAGAAAAACAATGACCAACTATTCAGGTTGCTTGCTTCCCTGCTGACCTCATTTTTATGCGGTTGGCTAGATTCTGCATTGACCATCTTGAAAAAAATCTTCTGTTTCACTTTAAGCAATACACTAACTTGTAGACTTGATGGACCTCAAAATCACCTGGAGAGCTTTTCCAAAATATCGATTCCTAGGTTTCATTACAACTTTCAACTTCCAATAGGTCTGGAACCTAGAAATCTATATTTTGAATAAGTTCCAGTATTCTGATTATCAGCAAGGTCTGATCTGTAATAGACCGCATGCAGATATCACATACACACACAACCTTCTCACTCTCTTATCTCTCTTTCTCTAAATAATTATATCAATCTATCTATAGCTTCTTTGAAAAGAATTTGTTCTAATGAAAACCTCCTATTACTACTTTGCTAAAAAATTGGTACTACTGATCTTGATTCAAACTGTAAAATAGCAAAATGTTCATTTACCTGAAACATCTCATTGATACCTTCTCCAGTTTGTGCTGAAGTTTCAAAATACAGAAACCCTTTACTTTCAGCCCAGAGACGCCCTTCACTTTCATCAATGCAGCGGTGCTTCGTGCAGTCGATCTGAAATAAAGTCAGTGACAGAGAGGATTCCTGACATCCCATTAGAATAGGCCAGAGGAGGCCTTGTCAATCCTCTACTGATGCAAAACAAATAAAAACAAACACAGCTTTTTTTGTGTGCTGGTCCTGGCATTTGAACTAAGGTCTCTGGCACTGTCTCTGAATTTTTGTGTTCAAGGCTCGTGTACTACCACTTAGTCACAGTGCCATTTTCATTTTTTTGGTAGTTAATTGGTGGTAAGAGTCTCAGACTTTCCTGCCAAGGCTGGTTTTGAACTGCAATCCTCAGGGTCCAGCCTCCTGAGTAGCTAGGATTATAAGCATAAGCCATTGGCACCATGAAAAGCAAAATAATTTTTGTTGTTGTTGGTCATGGGGCTTGAACTCTGGGCCTCGGCGCTGCCCCCCAGCATTTCAGCTCAATGTGAGCACTCAACCACTTGAGCCACAGTGCCACTTCCAGTTTTCTGGTAATTTATTGGAGATAAGAGTCTCACAGACTTTCCTGCCCGGGCTGGCTTTGAATCATGATCCTCAGAGCTCAGCCTCCTGAGTAGCTAGAATTACAGGCGTGAGCCACTGGTGCCCAGCAAAGCAAAACTTTTTTTTTAGGGGGGGGGTCCGGTTGTGAGGCCTGAACTCTGGGCCTGGGCGCTGTCCCTCAGCTCTTCAGTTCAAGGCTAGCACTCTACCACTTGAGCCACAGCGCCACCGGAAGGTGGCTTAGTGGTAGAGTGCTTGCCTTGCATACATGAGGCCCTGGGTTGGATTCCTCAGCACCACATAAGAAAAAAGAAAAAAGCCGGAAGTGGCGCTGTGGCTCAAGTGGCAGAGTGCTAGCTTTGAGCTGAAGAGCTGAGGGACAGTGCCCAGGCCCAGAGTTCAGGCCCCATGACAGGACCAAAAACAACAACAACAACAACAACAACAAAGTCAGCCTGGGCAGGAAAGTCCATGAGACTCTTATCTCCAATAAACCACTAGAAAACCAGAAGGGGTGCTGTGGCTCAAGCAGTAGAGCGCAGTGTTCAGACCCAGAGTTCAAGCCCCAGGACTGACAAAAAAAAAAAAAAATTGGACAGAGGGGTTACAGTTACATGAACAAGGTAATGAGCACATTTCCTATCAAGCATTGTTACTCCTCCTTTGTTTTTCCCCTACCATCTCTTCTCTCTCTCCCACCTCCATGACTACACCTCCTCCCCTCTCCCCTCCCCACCTAAATTGTAAAGTTCATTTTTCAACATAGTGTCTTGTGTATCTCATTGTTACAATGGGTCAACCTGTATCCCTATTTAAGCATTGTTTTTTCCCTTCCCCTCACCAAATTAGAAAAGTGTATATACAAGATGCAGGGTACCGACATCAAATACAGTGAAAACAGAGGTTATACCATGGGGGAGGAACATACAAAGAAACAAACAAACAAAAAAATCACATGGTACATTATAAATACATTAGAAACAATAGCAAGAAAGAAAAAACCACTTGTGTCCCTATCTTGGTGTTCATTTCGCTTAACAACATCTTATCTGGTCATATGTACATAGCATTTGACCTTTTCTACTTATCTCAGACATATACTAGTTATTGCAAATAAGGGAAACCATGGGACCTATGTTTCTTTGGATCTGGCTTACTTCACTTAATATAATATTTTCCGAGTCTTTCCATTTCCTAACAAAAGGGGCGATGTCATTCTTTCTGATGGAGGCATAGAATTCCATTATATATATATAAATATATAATATATATATATATAATATATATATATCACATTTTCTTGATCCATTCATCTACTGAGGGGCATCTTAGCTATGGTAAATAATGCAAAGCAAAACATTTTTAATGAGCCTTACCAAACCAAAAAAACCCAACAAGAATAATAAAACTGAGTGTAACTGATTTTTGTCTGATTTTCTATCATACATCCTACTTCCTCCCTTGGTAGAGCAGCTACTACCTTTGTGAAAGGGGCTTCATGACCTGCCACACCCAGGGAGCTGCTGTCTACTTTCTGCACCTTTCCATGGTCTACATATCCTGCATGCTCTTTCTCCCAGCAGGTCAGGGTTTCATTATCAGGCTCTAGAGCTTCTGCTCAGTTCTCAACCTGTTTCCTTAAGTAGGGTACTAGAAAAATAAAACAAAATAAAAACTTTGATGGTACTTTTCTGGTTGTTTTGGTTTTGTCTTCAGGCATTCCTTTTTTTTTTTTTTCCTTCAGTCCACGGGACTGAGCACTGTCCCTGAGCCTCTTTGTGCTCAAGGCTAGGGTTCTACCATTTGAGCCACAGCGCCACTTCCAGCTTTTTTGGGGTAGTTTATTTGAGATAAGAGTCTCATGGGGACTTGTCTGCTGGGGCTGGCTTCAAACCACAATCAGATCTCAATCGCCTGCATAGCTAGGATTATAGGCGTGAACCACTGGTGCCAGATTTACAGGCATGTCTTACTGAAAGATGAGTGATTCTATGTCAAAGAATAAAAAACCTTAGGGCTGAGCTGTCCCTTTTCCCTAGGAAGCTGAGTGGTTACCTTGTTGGCACACACCACAAATATAATATTGTCCATATTTCCATGAGGCCCAAGCTCCTGTTTCATTTCTGCCAGCCATGCATCAAGGGCATCGAAGGAGTCTTTCTGCCCAACGTCATAGACCAGAATCACGCCCTGTGTGTCCTTGTAGAACTCATTGCGCACCTTCAGATGGAAGGACAGATGCATAAGATGAGGTTCTCCAATTTCATAAGAATGTATCTTCCAGTCATTAACTCAGCAAGTGTGTTCTTTCGTGTACTCAGTACTTAAATCTCCATATTTACTGTTTTTTAGAGGTTTTTTGTTTTTTACAAAAATCAAAGTAACATAAAAAACTAAAGTTCAAGTACTGGCACACACATACAAAATCTCCTAGTACACAAAGTCTCATAGCAGAAAGCCAGGGCATCTTGCTTCAGCCCTCTCCACCTCCAACTCCACAGCCAGAGGCAATCACTAGCTAACTGTTCATAGACCTTAAAGGAATACCAGTCATGCCAAGCTCTTTTTACAAAGATAAACAATTAAAAAATTTTAAGGTAAAAATGACACAAATCTCCACAGTTGGTACAGCCATTGAGATATTACATCCCTATGCTGGCTTCTTCCAGGATGCTATAAAGAGCTCCAGGGAGTTTGGTGGAGGAAGCGTTTATATAACAACTTTCAAAACTCCAAATTCAGAGCCTTGGCATAATGGGACAGCAAGGAACACAGGCTTTGGAGACAGACAGACATGGGTTCACACTTACTGGCTGCATGATCCTAGACTAGTCATTTAATTTTCTGTGTCTCAGTATTCTCATCAGTATAATGAGGACAATACTACTTGCTTCAGTTAGTATGAGAACTAAGTGAAATAATGAAGCCAAAGCACTTAGTATGGTGTCTAAAAAGCCATGTGTATCGGCACTGCCTTCCTTCTGTCCTGTGGCCATTATCTGATGATTCTCAATGTTCTATCAGAAATGACAACCTGGCCTGGCACTGGTGGCTCATAGTGTAATCCTATGCTACTCAAGAGGCTGAGATCTGAAAATCTCTGTTCAAAGCCAAAAGGTTGGGCCAGTGGCTAAAGGACCAGGCGCGAAAGTGTGGTGTCCTAGGTTAAAACCTCAGGACAAGTGACTCATGCCTGTAATCCTAGCTAATTAGGAGGCTGAGATCTGAAAATCACAGTTCAAAGCCAGCCCAGGTAGGCAAGTCCATGAGACACTTATCTCCAATTAATCACCAAAAAGCCCAAAGTGGAGCTGTGGTTCAAGTGAGCACTAACCTTGAGCAAAATAGTTCAGAATCAGCTCCTAGGCCCTAAGTTCAAGCCCAAGACTTGAACACACACACACACACACACACACACACACACACACACACACACACACACACACACACACACACACACACACACACACCAATTACATTTCATATCCCTATTTAAGGATAACATAAAAGACTAATGGGTTCCTAACAAGTTAAATCTCAGAAGGCAAGCCACAAACATGATTAATTTCACACATGATTCCAATATTGGTTGTTTTAAGTAACTCTCAAAATCACTTTCCCTGGTGTTCCCAAACCCACTGACAATACTGAATAGAAGGTTTCCTTACCTCATAGAAGAAGGGATGGCCAGCCATATCAAAGATGTTGACTTTGATTTCTCTGTCTCTGACTTGTACTCTGAAATATTCAAACAGAAACAATCCCAAAGGAGGTCACAGTTTCCATTTCTGTCAGTTATGAATTTGAGAAGGATCTGTGTGTGAAATTTCAAAGAGGCTTTCTCTATGCCTCCTTCTGAGTCCAGATAATCTTTACCACAGGAGCCAATAACTGGCAGACTGCCCTGCTGCCATGCTTTGTGAACACTGAGCTGACTTGGAGCAAACACCGTCATGACTTCAAGATAATTCAGTCCACAATCCTGAACCAATCTACTGTGGCTACTACTATGGTATTAAGAAAAATTTATTCAGGATAATCAGGAATAAGATAAAGGAGAAGAAAAAGCCGTGTGCCAGTGGCTCACACCTGTAATCCTAGCTACTCAGGAGGGTGAGATCTGAGGATCACGATTCAAAGCCTGCGAGACTCTTATCTCCAATAAACCTCTAGAAAACTGGAAATGGTGCTGTGGCTCAAGTGGTAGAGTGCTCGCCTTGAGCTGAAGAGCTGAGGGACAGCGCCCAAGCCCAGAGTTCAAGCCCCACGACTGACCAAAAAAAAAAAAGTTTCAATTTACTAGGATAATTTTTATTTTTTCCCCAATACTGGGGAATGATTTCAGGGTTTCAAGCTTGCTAGACAAGTGCTCTACCATTTCAGTCATGCCCCCAGTCCCACTAAGATATCTTAATCATCACTGGTTATATTTGGTTACCATACAATAGAAGAATACATATATATGTTAATAGTACTGGTCTAATTCTCTTGTGATTGTCATTAGAAAAAGAACAATAGTCAATTTGTTTGCTTTTCTGAAACAAATTGGAAAATAAGAGAACAAAAGGGCAAACAATAACAATTCCAAAAGAATGAACAACTATTAGTATCATGGAATGTTTCTTCCTAGTTTTTTTCTGAGAAAATTGAAAAATACTTAATGAATAATTAAAACCTTAAGGAAAACCACAAATATTTAAAAGGTAAACATTTAAGTTATCCCAAATCCTACCACCTACAACCTTCATTAATATAAATATAGCTATAGACTATTTTCTATGCATAGATAAGACTGATAGACATAGTCTTATAAAAGTGGGATTATACTATTATAACTAACCTGAACTTTACTTTTTAATTGAATTTAAAAGAAAAAGAGACTAAATGAACTGAGAGGAAATTACAACACTTTAAACGTTAATGTTTCCTCAGCACAAGAAATGATTTCCTAAAACACCCTTCAAAGTTTATGAGTAGAGAATATTAACAGTAAATAAACAGTAGAGTCATTATGCCTTCTTAGTAACATGTTTTGGGTTTTGACATTATGATATGACTCCTTACTATGGAACCTGAGGGTCTCAGCACCTGCTCTCAATGCCCCTCTACTGCTTCCTGTTTTATTCATCCTCACTCCCTGTCCAAGTTTATAGCATTGACTTTCTGATCTGAAATCCCTATTCCTACAGTTGTTTTATACCTATATATTTAGATTAACCTAGTCTCTAATCATCTGATCATGATTTTTTTTTTTGTCGGTTGTGGGGCTTGAACCCTTTGCCTAGGCGCTGTCCCTGAGTACTTCAGCTCAAGGCGAGCGCTTTACTGCTTGAGCCACAGCGCCACTTTGGTTTTCTAATGGTTTATTGGAAATAAGAGTCTCAAGGACTTTCCTGCCCAGGCTGGCTTTGAACCATGATCCTCAGATCTCAGCCTCCTGAGTAGCTAGGATTACAGGCGTGAGCCAACAATGCCTGGTTCCAATCATGATTTTTTTCACACCTGAACTGTTGGTTGTTTTTTGTTTTTGTTTTGGCCAGTCCTGGGGATTGAATTCAGGGCCTGGGCACTATCCCTGAGTTTCTTTTGCTCAAGGCTAGCACTCTACCACCTGAACCACAATGCCACTTCTGGCTTTTTCTGCGTAGGTGGTACTGAAGAATCAAACCCAGCCTTCATGTATGCTAGACAAGCACTCTACCACTAAGCCACATTCCCAGCTTGGCACACCTGAGTTTTCTACCCACATTCCATCAATTCTAAGGTGCCTATTTGTTTCCATTTTAACATCTCTGTGAAGTCAGGATCCATCTCACAAAAGAGAATAGGAGAAAAGCAAAATAAAAGAACACAATGGCACAATAGTGAAAGCAAAACAATACTGATTTAGCTCACTGTTAAGATTACAAAAACAATAAAGCTTGAAAGTTTCTGGAAAAGATACAAGAATTTGTATTCTTCTTCTTATTATTATGATTTTACTTTGAGAAGACAGAAGCTAAAGAGATGGAACCTATAAAATCTGCAAAGTCAGGAAGTAACACAAATGTCTTCACATAAGGAAATCTAAAAGAGGGCAGCCTAATTACTTATCCTGTCCCTAAGAAACCCAAAAATGGAGCTGTGGCTTAAGAGGTAGAGTACTAGCTTGAGCAAAAAGAACTCAAGGACAGTGCCCAGGCCCTGAGTTGAAGCCCCAGGACTAGCAAAAAAAAAGAAAAGAAAATTACTGGCAGAGAGTAAGTAGAAATGGGGTAAAAGGGATGGCAGATGTATTATGTACAGTTTTGGCTTTAGAACTGTATTAATGTTTTATGCACTATTAATAATTTATATATGCACTGAATGAAGTATTACATAGTTAAATTTATATCAATAAGATACAAATAAACCTCAAAAGTGAATACAAAGAGAAATAAAAAAATAAAAACCCACAAAACTTCCTTAAATGTGGTCTCCTACCACATCATTACAGAAAATAGAAAAAAAATAGAAAGTGTGTTATAAACTGATTGGTTGAATTGAGTACTACTTAAAGATAATAAAATATAAATTAATTTAAAAAGGAAATGTGTATTTCAGTGAAGAGCTTCATACATTACATAGTAAAGAGGTTACAATTTTCAGTGTGTGTGTGCGTGCGCACGCATGCGCGCACTCCAGTCCTGGGACTTGAACTAAGGGCCTTGGCAGTATTATTGAGCTTTTGTGCTCAAGGATAACATTCTACTACATGAGCAACAACTCTACTTCTGACTTTTCTGGCGACTAATTGGACTTATCTGCCCCAGGCTGGGGGGCTTTGAACCAAGACCTTCAGAGTTCAGCCTCCAGAATAGCTAGGATTACAGGCATGAACCACCAATGGCTGGTTATAATTTTCATAAGGAAAAGTTGCTGTAATAGACTCTGCTGCTGTCTGAAAATGGTGATGTTGCAAGAACTCTTGATTTTATTTTGCTATGTATTTGAACTATTTTAATTATAGTCACGAAAGATACCTGAACTCAACTCTGTCCTTCGTCTAATTGTAATTCAGGTCAGATATACTTTTGCCACTTTTGTCAACCCACTTGAATACTGCTCTCAGATTTGAATCTGGCAAACTTCCTTTTTAGATGTACTTAATTTATGCAACAAGATATATCTATTAATCATCTAAAGGCACTATATATAAGCACATCAGTAATCTAAAGAACTTTAACATTTGCCATTAGCATAAAGGACCTGATGAATAGAGAGGATGTTCAGAAGCCTTAAAAAACTCAGACATTTTACTCTCTAATGAAAAATGGCAGTGGAGAGGTGAGGGGACAGAGTCATAGCAGCACTGAAATGGGAACAGGAGGCAGCAGTTCAGGGCAGATAGAACGGAAGGGTGGGGGAAGAATAGGGAGCACTGGCAAGCACATGGTTAGGGAGTGTGCTGCCCACCCCAATTCTACTCTTTGGTAGTGTTATTCCTGCTCAAACTCAGCCTTCTTAAGACTCAATTCCAATTCAGTTCCCACTGTCACTCAATTTCATTGTTCCTAGATCATTTGTACTAGTTTTTTTTTTTGTTGTTGTTGTTTTTTGGGGGTCCGGTCGTGGGGCCTGAACTCTGGGCCTGGGCGCTGTCCCTCAGCTCTTCAGCTCAAGGCTAGCACTCTACCACTTGAGCCACAACACCACTTCCGGCTTTTTTCTTTTTTCTTATGTGGTGCTGAGGAATCGAACCCAGGGCCTCAGGCATGCAAGGCAAGCGCTCTACCACTGAGCCACCTTCCCAGCCCTGTACTAGATTTCAATACATAAAAATCATATAATAATAATGGAAGTTTTGAATAGAAATTTCCAACTAAAATACTTGTTTCAGGAAGAATTTTGTCCGTCATGGGCTTGAACTCAGGGCATGGGCACTATCTCTGAGCTTTTTCACTCAAAGCTAGCACTCTACCACTTTGAGCCACAGCACCACTTCTGGTTTTCTGATGGTTAGTTAGAGTTAAGCATCTCATGGACTTTCTCATTCTCACCCAGGCTATCTTCGAATTGTGATTCCCAGATCTCAGCCAACTGAGTAGCTAGGATTATAGGGGTGAACCACTGGCACCCAGCAGGAAGAATATTTTTCAATGTTCTAGAAACATCCCTGCTGGTAGGACCTGCTTATACAGAACATGTTTCCTGAGAGGTTCATCTGCCAGTTACACTCTGTGTTGACTGGCTCAGCACAGTCCACCTCTACCACAAGGCCTGTTAGTAGAATGTGCTCAATACATTGGCTGGATGAAGGAAGGATATGAGGTCTGTTAGTTCTGTCTTTTCTCATTTATCTTCAAAGTCTCTATTTCAAAGATAGCCTGCATACATCCATAGATGCAAGTACAGATCATTTTAAAAGTTCTCAATTTCTGTGTCATTTATAAGCCAGGGAAACAAAATACTCACTTTGTGACTCCATAGTCAATTCCAATTGTTGCAAGGTATTTAGACACAAATCTTTTCTCACAGTACCGCTTTATAATACAGCTCTGAAAAAGTAAAAAATGCATTTCACTTAGTAAATACATACTGAGATAGATATATGAGATAGACACAGTTCTTTGTTATGGTTTCTTCATTTACTATTATGAAAAAGAAGTGTTTTCAAAAGCCAAAACTATAAAATAACAAACAAATCCCAAAAGTAAACATTTTAAAGAATATTTATTTATTTTGTCAGTCGTGGGGCTTGAACTCTGGGCCAGGGCACTGTCCCTCAGCTCTTCAGCTGAAGGCTAACACTCTACCACTTGAGCCATAGTACCACTTCCGGCTTATGTGGTGCTGAGGAATCAAAACCAGGGCCTCATTCATGCAAGGCAAGCACTCTACCACTGAGCCACCTTCCCAGCCCGAATACTTATTTTTATATTCTTGTCTTAATACTAACTAGGTTTGAACTCAGGGCCTAATCCATTTGCTTGGTTTGTTTGCTAAGCTGGCATTCTACCACATGAGCCATGCTTCCCACCCAACTTTTTTTGTGTGCCAATACTGGGGCTTAGAACTCAGGGCCTGGTCACCATAGGTTAGATTTTGTACTCAAGGCTGTTGCTCTACTACTTGGGCTCCACTTCTGGTTTTTGTGGTTAATTTGAGATAAGAGTCTCACAGACTCTCCTGTCCAGGCTGGCTTTGAACCATGGTCCTTAGATCTCAGCCTCCAGAGTAGCTAGGATTACAGGCATGAGCAATTAGTGCCTTGCTTATAACTTCTTTTGTTTTTGTGGTGGAGGCTTGAACTTAAAACCTCTAGCTACAATTCTAAAATACACACACACACACACACACACACACACACACACACACACACAAAACGCCTTTCTTTTTATTTTGAAATAAGAGTGTGCTAATTTTGCCTGGGCTGGTCTCAAACTCTAAGTAGCATGTACTATCATACCCAGACCCTTTTGCCACTCTGTCTTTTTAAAAATTTTAAATACTATCTAGCAAGAGTCTTACATACTCTCTAGCTTGGGCTCAAATCCTCAAATCTCAAATCCTCAAATCTGTCTCCTGAGTAGCTAGAATTACAGGTGTGAGCAACTGTACCTGATTCCTTTTGTCACTTTAAAATGTTGCTCATATAACTGGATTTGTTTGGGGCTCTATTCTGTTCTACAGATCTATTTGTCTATTTTTATACCAAAGTAATACTTTTCTCTGTTAGAAGTAATAAGGTTTGAACTCAGGGCCTTATGCTTTACCAGGCAGGTAACTCTACTGCTAAGCTATGCCACTTACTCTTTCTCATACAGGTTGTTTTTAAGGTAGGTCTCACTTCCTACTGAGGCATGTACCTGGACCATGATCCTATTTTTTTGGGGGAGGTTCCAGTTGTAGGGCTTGAACTCTGGGCCTAGGAGCTGTCCCTCAGCTCTTCAGCTCAAGGCTAGCGCTCTACCACTTGAGCCACAGCACCACTTACAGCTTTTTTTTTTCTTTTTTCTTATGTGGTGCTGAGGAATCGAACCCAGGGCCTCATGTATGCAAGGCAAGCACTCTACCACTGAGCTACCTTCCCAGCCGGTGGTCCTATTTTTTTATTTTTTGCTTCCCTCCACAGTTGGTATGACAAGTGTATATCATAACACACAACATTTTCTGTTGAGATGGAGTTGCACAGAATTTCTGCCAGGACTAGTCTTGAACCACAATGCTCATGGCTTTCAACCTCCCAAGTAATTCATGATATAGGAGTGGACCACTTGTGCCCAGCTTGTAGTACTTCTTTGATTTGTTTCAGTCTGTAATATATCTGTCTAGGCAAATTCTCTTTCTACTATCCTATTTCATTTTTCTTTTCCATTCTTTGACTAGTCATTCTGAGATAGCTATTCTTTCATATGAATTTTAGAATAATTCTACCAAAAAAGCTCTGGGGATATACAGTTCAGTGGTAAAACACTTGCCTAGCATTCATAAGTCCCTAGATTCAATCCCATCACCAGAGAAAGGAAGGGAAAGGAAGGGAAGGGAAGGGGAAAGAACAAGAGAAAGAAGAGAAGGGAAAGGAGGAAGGAAGGAAGGGAGGGAGGGAAGAAGGAAGGAAGGAAAAGAAAGGGTCAGACTCATCCCTATTTTCAATGGCACTATATTAAATTTGTATATTAGCTTTGGAAGCACTGGTGTTGCCATAATGTCTTCCGGCAAAAGAACATGATTTGTCCATTTGCTTAGATTTTGTTTGATGTCTTTCAATTATTTTGGCTTTATTCAGGTAAGTACTATATCTTTCTTACTATATATCTCCCTAATGTATTATAGGTTTCACTATTATAAGTGGAATATCTTTTTTCATTTCCATTTTTAGATTTGTTAATGTAATTTATTAGTCTTTATGCATTTATGTCATATTACTCTACCACAGCCTCTAATTAATTAAACTAGATTAAAGAATCTTTCAGATATTCTATATATAATGTAAAATAGCAACACATAATTTTTCTTTTTTAACATTTATACCAGTTATTTCAATTTTTTGTTAATCTCTAGAATTTCTAAAACAATGTTGAATAATAAGAATAGTAGGTATTCTTTTTTTGTAGCTATTTACTAGAAACGGTCTTAGTGTTTTACCAATTGGCATGACATTTACTGTTAGTTTATAATAATTTTCTACTGTACTTTGTTTGCATTTTATTATGATTTTGCTTATGTTTATCAAGATCTACTACTGGACTATATGAAATGTTTTATAGCACTGAAAGCATCATGTAACTTTTCTGCACTAATTTGTTGATGTAACAAATTACATGGATTCTGTTCTGCATATTGAACCGTATTTGCAATCCTGAAACAAACCTTCTTGTGAAAGAATGAATTCTTTGATACACTGAGTTCTACTTGCCAACACTCATGTACCTATGAAATTGGTATATACACTTTTCTTTGATACTACTTCAAATTTTAATATTTAAGCTACAATAATGAGTTGGGATGCTGTTTTATCTTTTTCTTGGGCCTGGAATAACCTAATTCAAATTATTTAAATTTAAATTAATTCAAATGACTTAAAATACATAATTCAATTCATTTATTTCTTGGGCCAGTACTGGGGTTTGAACTTAGGGCCTAGATGCTGTCCCTGAGCTTTTTTTTTTTGGGGGGGGGTCCGATCATAGGGCCTGAACTCTGGGCCTAGGCACTGTCCCTCAGCTCTTCAGCTCAAGGCTAGCAATCTACCACTTGAGCCACAGCACCACTTCTGGCTTTTTTTCTTTTTGCTTATGTGGTGCTGGGAAATCGAACCCAGGGCCTCATGTATACAAGACAAGCACTCTACCACTGAGCCACCTTCCCAGCCCTGACCCTGAGCTTCTGTGCTCAAGTCTAGCAGTTTACCACTTGAGCCACAGCTCCATTTCTGGCTTTTTGGAGGTTAAGTAGAAATAAGAGTCTCATGGACTTTCCTGCCTGGATAGCCTTTAATCCATGATCCTCAGATCTCAGCCTCCTTGGTAGCTGGGATTACAGGTATGAGCCACTGGAACCTGACTTCAACTTCTTTTTTGAATTAATTTTAGTAACTTATACTTAGCTAGGAAATCCTGCATTCCTTAGTCATTCTTACCTTCTTTTCCAATACATTCTTATCTCCTTTTCAATATTAATCTTGTAATTCTTTTTTTCTAGTTTTCTTACATATATTTTTAGGCAGTTTTCATCTTCATTAATTTTTCCAAATAATTTTCTTTTCTTCAGTTATTATTAATTGGTGGTACTGGAGTTTGAACTCAGAGCCTCATACTTGCTAGACAGGTATTCTACAACTGAGCTGCTACTCTACCAGCTGTTTGGATTTTAGTTTTTTTGGTGCTGGCCTCAGGACTTAACTCAAGGCCTAGGCACTGTCCATGGTTCAAAGCCAGCACATGCAGGAAAGTCCATCTGATTCTTATCTCCAATTCATCCCTAAAAAGCCAGAAGTGGAAGTTGTGGGTCAAGTAGTAGTGTACTAGATTTGAACAAAAAAGCTACGGGACAATGCCCAAGACCTGAATTCATGTGTGTGTGTGTGTGTGTGTGTGTGTGTGTGCGACAGACAAACAGAGACACACACACACACACACAATCTGATAATTAGCCTCCTCTTATTTTTCTTTTCATATTTTCTTGGGTAGTCATATATTTTTCTTTCTTTTTTGTTTTTTTTTTTGTCAGTTGTAAGGTTTGAACTCAGGGCCTAGGTGCTGTTCCCTTTGTTCTCAAGGCTGAAGCTCTACCATATGAGCCACAGCGCCACTTCTGGTTTTTGAGTGGTTAATTGGAGATAAGTCTTATAGGAACTTTTCTGCCTGGACTGGCTTCAAACCCCCATCCTCAGATCTGAGTTTCCTGAGTAGACTTGCAGGTGTGAACCACAAGCACCCAGCATATTTTTCTTTTTTATGTTTACCTTTTCATAAGGACTTTAGTAAAGTTATTATATCCTGAAAAAGAAAGCTTAACTGGTGTTTTAACTAGAATTGAATTAAATTTGTATATTAAATAAGTGACATACAATATTGAATGCTCTAAGGGAAAAGTTTATCTTTCCATTTGCCTAATTGCATATCCCTCCACAGAATTTAAAACTTTTCTCCACTTAAGTCCCTTCCTATTTCTTTGTATAAACCTAAGTATTTTACATGGGTCATTATTTACCTTGTTTATTATTGTAAAATTGGCCATGCATTAGGGGCTCATGCCTATAATCCTAGCTATCCAGGAGGCGGCTGAGATCTGAGGAACACAGTTAAAAAAGTCAGCCTGGGCAGACAAATCTATAAGGCTTTTATTTCCAATTAATCAGCAAAAACCTAGAACTGGTAGAGCAGCAGCTGTGAGAAGGAAGCCATTTGGAGGCCCAGAGTTCAAGTCCCAGTCCCAGCACCAAAAAATAGATAAATGAAATAAATCATTTATGTATTTCAGTAGCCTTTAACTCCAATTTCCTGCATGGGGAGAAGGAAATAGTTTTTTTTTTCTCTAACCTAGTTCTTTGAGCCATGTAGTTCTCTGTGTGTGTGTGAGAAAGTTAGTACACACACACAAACACATGATCTAAATGGTATAAAAAGCTATTAATTTATGCATAATTTGGCATGATTGTTTTATTGTTTCTAGCAGTTTTTCAGTTAATCTTATTTTTTTTAATCGGTCATAAGGCTTGAACTCTGGGCTTGAGTGCTGTCCCTGCGCTCTTAGCTTGAGCCACAGCGCCAGTTCCAGTTTTCTAGTGGTTTACTGGAGATAAAAGTCTTACAGACTTTCCTGCTGGGGCTGGCTTTGAACCCTGATCCTCAGATCTCAGCCTCCGGAAGAGGATTCCAGGCGTGAGCCACTGGCGCCCAGCTTTTGGTTAATCTTTCTTTTAGTCTCCAGGTAAACAATCATATCATTAACAAATAATGATCATTTTGCCTTCATCTTGTAAATATTTTCTTTCTCTTGTCTAATTTTATTTGCTAGTAAAGAAAACAGTATTACATATATGTGGTGACACTGGGTATTTTGCAATGTTGCTAATGAGCCATTATAAATGTAGTAAAATTACAAACATGATACACACTCATTTAGCCAGCTTAGTATATAACTTGAGACTTTTTAACTTTCTTGCTAATGTCTGGTACATAGTTGACATTCAATAAAGTTTGACCTACAGAAGATAGTCTGTTAATACCTCCACACACAGAGATGAGTAGTACACATACAGAGAAAACACTAATAAACATTTCCTGGACATCTCTTATGTGAGGGCCTAAACACTGTCATCAACTGCTGTTTTGCACTTAAGGATTTTTTTTTTTTTTTTTTTTTGCCAGTCCTGGGGCTTGAAATCAGGTCTGGGCACTGTCCCTGAGCTTCTTATGCTTAAGGCTACCACTCTACCACAGTGTGACTTCTGGATTTTTCTGTTTATGTGGTACTGAGGAATCAAACTCAGGGCTACACGCATGCTAGGCAAGCACTCTACCACTAAGCCACATTCCAGGCCCCAAGGAGTTGATTTTTTAAATTAGTTAATTTTGTATTGTCTTAAGTAAGTTGTACAAAGGGCTTTCAACATGTCACTTTATGAGTACAAGCATCTTGACCAATGTCACTGCTTTCATAATTCAGGGAGTTGACTCTGCCAGCATTCAACGGTGGAAACAGCAATGCCTTTAGGAGGGTGAAGACTTAGGATCTGTCACTGATGACCTTGGGTGTTCTTAACCAACAGCTTCCACTTAGACAAGAGTGACAATTGGGGTGAAGAAGAAACAGTCTCAGAATTCATGTGGGAACAGGCCCCAGGTTACCTCTGATTTTTCCCTTCTCCATGCTAAGGGAATTTATAGCTGATACTCAGCAGAGAGCAGAGAGTAAAAGCGGTGGAAAACAGGCTTCTTTAAGAAAGTAGACATGGATGCTACCATATATTATTTTAAAAAAGTAGCAGATCCTCGCCAACCGCCTCCCCTGTGAACCATGCCTCTTTAGTTATAAACGCTCTCAAGATGAGGGTGTCGACTCCAGGCTGTGCTGCCACACTGCACACGCTCTATCCTCACACGCACCTCATCCCAGCACCTCTCAAGCACCGCCAACAGTAACTCAACTTTTACTCTCCACCTCCAGCTGCTGGACCTGTCACCTAGACCTGTTATCTGAGCACACGATGAGACAGTAGGACACCTCCTTTACTCTCTGAGGAGTGCACTCGAGGGTCCAAAGGCACCCCAGACACATTCCTAGGGAGAGTGGTGTCAGCGACCACCCAGAGGTCAGAAAGGTCGGGATAGTTTTGCCCAAGCAGCAGCAGCATCCCTGGCCTGCTCGGGGGAGGGGTGGAGAGGAGGCTGCGCCCGGCTGGTGAGTGACGGCCTTCTCAGCCAATAGGGACGTCACCCCGCCGCGTGGCGTCCCGCCCAGCCTGGCGCGCAGTACTCACTTTCCCCACTTCGGCGTTGCCCATGGAGATGACTTTGATGCGGAGGGATTTTCCCGGCTCCTTCCGCTTTGGCACGTTGGCCTCCATTACCCTCACTCTCTCGAGGCCACTCGCCTCGGTCTCCTGGTGCACCGAGGTAGCCGGTCGCTCAGGCCTCCTCGACCAAAGGTGGAGCTGCAGCTGTCGTCCCAGGCTGGGGTTCGCGGCTCTCCATCCTCAGGCAGCGGGCGCGGACGGTGAGGAGGCTGGGAGGCGGGGTAAAAGGAGGAGGGGCAGGGGTAGGGAAGGAGTGAGGAGAGAATCTCGCGATACGAGCGCGCAACGCCTGACGTCATCTCCGGGTTCCGGGCTTCAGTTAATCGGTCTCTGGAGTCCGGTGAGGAGCGCGGCCAGGTTTCTTGGCGAGAAGGCGGTGGCGGGAGGCCCGGGTGGGGTGAGGCGGGGCGAGGCGGCGGCCGGGTTCACTCGCGGCGAGCACACCGTTGATTTGTAGGCGGCGGGACGGGAGGCATTCGTTGCATTTGCTACAGAAGTTTTGGCGGGCCGGTGCAGGTCCGGAGTTGGGAGTTGGTGGGCTGTTGGTTGTAGTAGTGGTAGGCCCAGCCGCGCCCAGCCGCGGCTTAACCGCGGTTTCTCGGAGGTCGCCCCTCCGCCGTTCCCCTTCTCGTTCCTTATGGGGGGCGAGGCGGGTCTCCCTACCCCCGGGGTGTCGGCTCCCGGGGGCGGGTAGATATGGCGGCTGCTCCAGCCCCCGGTGTAAAATGGCTGGTGTGTGTTGTAACTTATGCACCCCCCCCCCCAGGCATACTTTGAAAATCATTGAATCCCGCCTAAAATGCTGTACAGTTGAAGAGTAACAAGGAAAAGTCGACACGTTTGCTACACTGTAAACGTAACTTTTGTTCCCAGAAGGTTCTTGAAAGTCTTGAGTCAGGAGCTGGGAAGTGGAGGAGTCAGAGTCAGATGCTGATTATGGGTGAGAGGGCCTCAGGCAAGACAGGACACTGAATTTGGTTCTTATCCTCCCGTCCCCAGAAGTTGGATGTGAATTCTGAGCTCCAAGCTTTCGCTTTGTCCATGGATGGCGCTTTACTTCTTGAGCCACATCCCCAGCCTAGGTTTTTTGCCACCCCCTTTTCTGTTAGTTTTGTGTGGGGAGTTTTGCAGACTTTTCGGCCCAGGATGGCCTTGAGCTGTCATCCTGTGGATCTCAGCCTCCTGAGTAGCTAAGATTACGCAAGAGCTTACCTGTGTTTAGCTCCTTTTCTTTCTTTCTTTTTTTTTGGCCATCCTGGGGCTTGAACTCAGAGCCTGGGCACTGTCCCTGAGCTTTCTTTTGCTCAAGGCTAGTGCTGTACCACCTGAGCCACAGCACCACTCGCAGCTGTTTCTGTGTATGTGGTACTGACAAATGGAATCCAGGGCTTCATGCATGCTGAGCAAGCACTCTACCACTAAGTCACATTCCCAGCCTTTTTTTTTTTTTTTAATATTGTATATTGGAGTCAAGTTTAATTTTGAATCTCCCTTACTCAGATCTAAGGGCTCGGGATTACTTAATTAATTTGAAGGGAGAAAGCTCAGACCATATGTGTCATTATGTTTTTGTCCAGCTCTCTTGAGGTGTAGGAGTGTAACTCTGAGATCTTCTGGTACCTCTGCGCGCCTCAAGTTCGACTTTGACTGTCTTTTGATTCTCACCTGCCTCTTAACTGACGGTAAGAATAAAGAAGAGTACATTCTACTGTTCCAGGGGATGAAAAAAAAAGACACCATTTGAACAAGAGGCAGTCTGACAAGGAAGTTTTGTTCTTTTGAGCATGGCCTGGACGCTGTCCCTGAACTTCTTTGGCTCAAGGCTATCACTTGACCTACGGTTCCACTTCGGACGTATTTGATAGTTTAGTGGAGATAAGAGTCTCACAGTCTTTCCTGTGTGGACTGGCTTCTAATCAGGGTCCTCAGATAACAAGTCTCCCAAGGAGCTAGAATTATAGTCATGAGCCATCAGCATTCAGTTTAAGGAATCATAATTTTAAGTCAATAGTTTCAGTTAAAACTTGATAAATGGTTAATTCCCAGAGGGTAAAAAATGCCTATTTTCAAACAAACTGCAAATGTAAAGGGAGCATTGCTTTTCTTAGATAGTTTTAAAAACATCAAAAAAGGCCGGACACCAGTAGCTCACACCTGTAATGCTAGCTACTCAGGAGGCTGAGATCTGAGGATCATGGTTTAAAGCTAGCCCGAGCAGGAAAGTCAGTGAAACTCTTACCTCCAATAAATCACCAGAAAACCAGAAGTGGTGCTATGGCTCAAGTGGTAGAGTGCTCACTTGAGAGAGAGAGCTCAGGGACAGCACTCAGGCCCAGAGTTCAAGCCCCACAACCCTACCAAAAAAAAAAAAAATCTAAAAAGAACTACTGGAAAAGGCTGAACATGACAAAGTAGTTTTAAGTCAGGTTTTCAGACATTATCATTTTAACATAAATGCTTTTTTTTAAAATTTAATTTTATTTGTGAACATACTGTACAGAGGGGTTACAATTGCATGGGCAGGATAATGCGTACATTTCTTACCAAGCATTGCATCCTCCTCCTTTGTTTACCCTTCACATCCCTTCCCAGCCTCCCCCCTCCCCCCCAATCCCAATCCTTCTCCTTCCCCCCACTCCCCCCCCCCCACCGACGTTGTAAAGCTCGTTTTGGACATGACAACTTGTACTTCTCATTGTTGCAACAGGTCCACCTGTATCCTTAAACAACTGGTTTTTCCCCATCTCCTCCACAAGTTATACTGACATCAAATACAGTGAAAGCAGGGGTTATACTGTGGAGGAGGGACATACAAAGCAACAAAGAGATAATCTTATAAATGCGTTAGAAACACATGCATGAAAGAAAAAAACATTAAAATACATATCTAAGGGTTCATTTTCCTGACATCACATACAAATGCTTTTTTAAGTTAACAAGTCTGCTCTTTTCTGCTCTTTTCTAGTATAGTCATGGCTCGTGGTCCCAAAAAGCATCTGAAGCGGGTAGCCGCTCCAAAGCATTGGATGCTGGATAAACTGACTGGTGTATTTGCTCCTCGGCCATCCACTGGTCCCCACAAGCTGAGAGAATGTCTGCCTCTCATCATTTTCCTTAGAAACAGACTTAAGTATGCCTTGACAGGAGATGAAGTAAAGAAGCTTTGCATGCAGCGCTTCATTAAGATCGACGGTAAAGCCAGGACTGATATAACTTACCCTGCAGGTTTTATGGATGTCATAAGCATTGACAAGACGGGAGAGAATTTCCGTCTGATCTATGACACCAAGGGTCGCTTTGCTGTCCATCGCATTACATCTGAGGAAGCCAAGTACAAGTTATGCAAAGTGAGAAAGATCTTTGTGGGCACGAAGGGAATCCCTCATCTGGTGACCCACGATGCTCGCACTATTCGATACCCTGACCCTCTCATCAAGGTGAATGACACCATTCAGATCAATCTGGAGACTGGCAAGATAGCCGATTTTATCAAGTTTGACACCGGCAACCTGTGTATGGTGACCGGAGGTGCTAACTTGGGAAGAATTGGTGTGATCACTAATAGAGAGAGGCATCCTGGTTCTTTTGATGTTGTTCATGTGAAAGATACCAATGGCAATAGCTTTGCCACTCGGCTTTCTAATATTTTTGTTATTGGCAAAGGCAATAAGCCTTGGATTTCTCTTCCCCGAGGAAAAGGAATCCGCCTCACCATTGCTGAAGAGAGAGATAAGAGGCTGGCAGCCAAGCAGTGCAGTGGGTAAACAGAGCAGGGGGTGAACTCTGGTTCCAGGTGGTATGTTCTAGAGGATATGTCTTTTTACATAAAGTTAATAAAAGATGGTTAACTTTTAAAAAATTGGTTGCAGAATTTTCATAAAACGTAATACAACAATTCTGGAAAATGTCTAGAATTCTTTTGAGTCATAGTTAGAATTTTGATATAGCTTGAAATAATGCTTCTTTACAAATCCAAGATACAGACCTCATGAGTTATTTTTTATTTTTATTTTTTTTGGGGGGGTCCGGTCGTGGGGCCTGAACTCTAGGCCTGGGTGCTGTCCATCAGCTCTTCAGCTCAAGGCTAGCGCTCTACTACTTGAGCCACAGCACCACTTCCAGCTTTTTTCTTTTTGCTTAAGTGGTACTGAGGAATCGAACCCAGGGCCTCATGCATGCAAGGCAAGCACTCTACCACTGAACCACCTTCCCAGCCCCAGACCTCATGATTTAATAAATCACTAAACTTTGATGTTTCATGTTTATCCAGGAGAATGATTACATCATTCCTTTCACTTAGATATGATACTATTGAGACTGTCAGCAGAAAACTGTGCACACACATCTTTAGTCCCAGTTAATTTGGAGGCTGAAGGTGGGAGGGAAGTGTCCATTGAGCCTAAGAGTTAAGCCCAACTATGTAACAAGAACTTACCTCAAAAAGAGATGCCAAAGATTAAAATACTATTTTTACATTGACTTTTGATCCTCTGATAAATATATATAGCCATATGTGCATGTATATTAATTTGGAAGTGAGAAAGTTGGCTCTTGTTTTCTAGTCTTTGTAAAAAAAAAGAAAGCATGAATCAACTTTGGACCTGCAAAATTTGGTATAACCATGAATTCAGGAGTCAGCCATCATAGATGTTTTATGATGGCATAAGGGTATATGGTGGTAAGAACTATGGGAGATCAGTGAGTTGGTGGATAATCAGAAAGGTAAGTCCTCCTATCCCCATAGCAACAAGCCAGGTGTGGTCTTGTGCCCACCTATGGTCTTAGCTACTAAAGCCTTAGGAGGATAGTGGTTCTAGCAAAAATCAAAACACTGAAATAAAGGCTTGAAGTAGTGATTCAAGTAGTAAGGTGCCTGCCTAGCACCTGTGAGGCACCTGCTTTAATACACCTTCAAACTTCAGTAGTACTTCCCCAATTAAGGTTTGTACATTTGGTACATGCTATCTCCCTCTCCCCAAATATTTCTTTTTTTGTTTTTGTTTTTGTTTTGGTCCAGTCATGGGGCCTGAACTCTGGGCCTGGACGCTGTCCCTCAGCTCTTCAGCTCAAGGC